CGGTGATTACTGTAATTTATTATGATGATTATTTCTATCCTAGCCCGTTCTTAGAAGCGTACCCGAACAGACTTTAGGTAAATCAATATAATCACGGGGAAAAAAACGTAAGTAAGTTTGGGAACATTTGGCCCCGTTTGCTGCAGGGGTTGAGCGCTCCGTACAGCTGCGCTGCGAAACGACGGGGAAACCTCCATCTATGTGGGAGCTCGGGGGGTGGGAGGTGGGGGGGGACGACACGCGGGGGGGTTGGTGCTAATTAACAAGCTTCTAACATACGCTAATTATGTTGATCTCTATGTGCACACCAACTATACATCACGCCCGTTGGCACGGCCGGGAGCGACGACACCATTTAAGCGGTGGCCGTGAGCGAAGTTGCAAAGTTTGAGGGGAAAGAAGGCCGGCCTTAATGACTTTTGATATCGAATTAATCGTAGAGGAAGGGGCAGGACAAATGGATCGGGTCGGTGTCTGGTAAATACTGGAAAAGCTCCTTGAATGTTTGGTTAAATATTTATTCCGTCCGAGTGGCGCATTGAATATTTAATGCAATTGTTTATCGTCAATCAATGCGTGCGCTTTCAGTACCGCTCTCCTCGTTTATTCCTCCAGCAGAATTAAAAAAGATCTCCTTATTAAAGTCGTTTGTCTTCCCTCCGTGCCCCGAGAGCCGCCTCTCCCTCCGTCCTTCTGCGTTTCCACGCGAAACAAACAGCCAGCACCGATCGCTGCTGCGATGTCGCGACTTTCGCCAACAATTGCTTACAAAATATATACGTATGCATTAAACCCCCCCCCCCCCCCCAAACTCAACCTGGAAGCCCGAACCCCTCCCGCAGCCCCACAGCACCTGAAGTCGGGGATGCGAGGAGCGGCTCTCCCTTCCCAAAGCCTTCCCCGGCAGAAAAGCGTTGCAACAATTGGGCTGCATTGGGGCTTTCACCTGCATGGGGAACCCTCTGAGGTGGGAACTGTTGGTCACAGCATTTCGCTGTGGAGCAGAAGCCGCTTCTCGCACCTCTAGATAGAAAGACAACAGCGCATCCTCCTCCGGTTTTTCCCCTTTCGTGGACGGGATGACCCGTAGGGATTTATTTTTAATTAATATATATATATATATATATATATATTTTTTTTTCCTGGAACGATTCTTTGAAATAAAAGGAAGAATATGGAAAGCACCGCCAGTGGAAGGAAGGATAAAGGCAAAAAAAAAAAAAAAAAAAGAATTGTGTTGTCCCCACATAAACCCGAAGCGAATCCCATCACGGGATGCAGTCGGTGCCGGGCGGAGCGCTTCGGACCGAATTGATGATGGTGATGGTGGTCCAATAGATCGAGAATATCCCGTCAGATGGAGTTGAAATCCATCCGAATAGCGAGAGGGGGAAAAGGCGAACCTCAGCCCCTCGCTGGAGCGCTCATCCTCAGCGTTGGCACCGGGATTTGTGCGCGTGTGTTTGGGGAGGAGGTGGAGGGCGGGGGGGACGGCGGAGAGGCTTTCGCTTCGCCCCCCGACAAAACCAATCCTTCACCCTAAAAAGAGCCTCAGGAGCTCCGGCCCCGCTCGGGTGTCCCTATTGCAGCTGCCAACCCCTGGACAAATCCCTGCTCCTTTTACTCTCCTGGTTGTCGTTGTGTTTCAATGGCAAAACGTCCGCGCTGCTGTTCGCCGCTCCTCTTTGGCCGAGTGGGAGAAAAGGAGAGAAATTGGGGTGGGTTTGGGGAGGGGGAGGAAGAGGGAAAACATCCTGCGGGCTCCGATAAATGCCCAGATATCCAACCATTCTGCAGGAGGGGGGAAAAAGGAATAAATAAAGATGGTTTTCATGGAGAGGAGCAGGCGGTGCGTATCTCGCAGAGGAGCGGACGGTTTTAGGGCTCCTGAGCAGAAATGCGGTGGGGATTCCACGGGGGCTGGCAGCACAGCGGTGCTCGGGCGGTGTGGTCGCATTTTTACGCATTTATTGGGAAATCTGGCAGGGAAACATGGCGGCTCCACTTGCTAAATTGTGTCTCTTCTCCAGGTTGAGTTCTGCTCACCCGCCCAGCTCAGCACCGCGTTCCATCCCATCTCTTTTCATTCATTTGTGGCTCCCCACCCTCCCCGGCTTTCTGTTTTCTGCGGAGGGAAGAGCCGTTTTCTCATCAAAGCGTTTTTAGAAGAGGTCGGGGATCTCCCTGTACGTCTGTGTGAGGAGACAGAGACAGACACACGTATCCGTGGGTCCGTAAGCCCGAAATGAGCGGTGTTTTCCCTCCCCAAACGCACCGTTTGGCCGAAGAATACAGGGGCAGAGCTCTGCCAGCCGAGATGGATTTCCTTCAGGTTTGTAATCTGCCCTATTTTATGGCTCGGACGTCGTTTTGGGCAAAACTTTTAATTAAAGTGTCAGCGATCTGTTCGCTCGGCTTTTTATGGACCGGTTTTCATGCTAACTACAAACTAATAACGTGAAGCTATTGTTTATGGGTGTCATTATTATCCCACCCCCCTCCTTCCCAACACCTCCCTCCCCCCCCCAACCCAAATCCTGTTTCCAACTCATACCGCGATTCTATAAAGGGAATCCCTCTCTGATGTCCATTTTTCTCTCCACGCAGCCCGAATTGCACGGCACGGGCAAAACTGCGGGCACGAAGCGGGGAGCAATGAGAGCTTTTTTCGGCTTAAAAATGGAAAAAAATAAACATTAAAAGATCAGAGCTAAACCTCAAACAAAGCACATATAGAAACCCTCCCCCCCCCTCCAAAAAAAAAAAAAAAGGGAACAGCTTTTCCTGGAGGTGCGCAAATCTCTCATTGCCACCCTTAGGTAAACGCATCCGAATGGAGCCCCGGTGTCGTTTTTGCGGCTTAAACCCGGCTTAAAGTCTGGGATTTGTTCGCTTCCTGCGAGGGGAGCCCCGAGGAGGCAGCTGTGGAGTCACAGCACTTGAATTTGACCACCAAAGTGACCACCATAAAACGGGATGAGGGGCCGACGGTTCGCATTCCTCCTGGTCGGGAGTGAAGGGGAAGCAGAGCCGGGTTTGGCACCCGAAACATTTCGGGCCCCTTTTACCATTCGAAGCCGCTCCGTTTCCGAGCGGTGCGAGAGGTGACAGTGAG